GGCGCCTGCAGAAACCGCGTTGGGGACCCCTGATTTAGAGTCTTATCTCCGATCATTACACACAATGGCCACTTGCTTTGAAAGTGACATTTCCCATTAAAGTTCTTCATTTGCATTCTCCAGGCTTCTCTCTCCTTTGAGAGGTTAAGGCGCTGTCCACACTACACAGCTTTTAGCGACATGGCTGTGTCCAAGCCGCTAAAAGTCGTGCAGTGTAGCCACCGTTGGTCGGCTATCCTGCCGACCACGCGCTGTTCACACTGGCACCTGTGGCGGCAAAACTTTTGTCTTTCGGGGGAGGGGGTTTAACACCTCTGAAAGACAAAAGTTGTCGTTCAATTGCCAGTGTAGACAGGGGTACACGCTGTGGAAACGTTCGCTGCTCCATTATAACGGGAGACAGAGAAGTGAAAACAACACCAGCATAGGCGCTGACTCCATGGGTCCTCCAGGGCTGGAGCACCTGTAACCCACACACCTGCTGGGGGTGGGGTTCTGTCCCATCTAGTGGCACTGAGACCACTTAGAGAGCGAGATTAATGAGTCTGTTCTACAGCCTTAGCTAAGAGCCACATCGTTTTTAGCTCATGCAGTAGAGACTCATGCATTTAGCGCCAAAGGTTCCCGCCTGCCGACAACCTGGGTCTGTCAGTGTCACACACACACACACACAAATTAGCGGGTGCTTAACACCCACCAGCAGCCAAGCTCCCCACCTCCCGCACAGCACCTGCTGCAATCAGCCGTTCTGTGGCGTGTGGGGAGGTGGCGGGGCCTGGGGTGGAGGGCGAAATCGAGCACCCCCCCCCCAGGGTACAGAGGAAGTCGGCGCCTATGAACGCAGGTGACATCCCACTAGTTTTCTGGAAGTTTATGAGCTCAAAAAGTGATTGTGTTTGGTGTTTAGACAAGTAAATCAACCTGGCCTCCAGCTACGCATTTGTTAGCGTTCAGTGAGGCCTGGGGCTTTGGCATGAGTGGGGACCTGGTCTGCCAGTGTCGCACCGGCAATGCCGATGAAGGCAGCTTTCTGTTATTAGCACCTGATCCCGTCCCACGGACTTTAACAGGAGTCGGATATTAGCACGTTTCTGAGCAGGGAGAGGTACCGTGCAAGGCCACGGGCCCCCATTCCCCACTGAAAGCCCCATCTGCAGGCAGGTTTGTAGGGCTGCAGCCAGGGAAGGAAACTCTGGGACATGCCAAGCCCAAACAGCCGGGTGCCAGGGCAGGGCACAGCCCAGAGAGTACCAGGCAGTCCCACGTTCCCCAGCACCCGTCCCCAGGGGAAAGCACCAGTATCAAGGCTGCAGCCCCCCCCCCCCAGCCTCCCCTCCCACTCCGCAGCGACGGGACTCCTACGTTACCCTCCTGTGCAGGTGGCAGGCCCCTTGCCACCCCAATCTGCTGTCCCAGGCAGGGGCCTTTCACTCCTTGGCAACCTCCGGCTAACAACGCTTTGCTGGAAACGGAGCGGTTGCAACTAACCAGCATCCACTGTACGGCACAGAAACAAGGGGATTTCAACTAAGCTTCCCAAACAGGAAAAAGTCAAACCGGTTTTAGATGAAAGTGAAAGTGAAACGGATCCAGAGCGGGTTTCACTGCTCCCCATTTCCATTGTGCAGGATACATTTTTTTGTTCTGACTCCAAAGAAGTTTGTTTTTGTTCCAAGTGTCACATCCCCTGGCGGGGTCATTCTGGTTCCCAACCTGCTCAACATATGGGAGGATGGGGGGGGGCTACGGTCACATACAAAGGCCACCATAAGTCTCCCAGCCTTGATCAGTCCAATGCGCTTCGGTGTAAGTACAACCCCTACCAGATCAGCAACGGCCTTGAGCCACCCGGCACATGTGCCACTGGCCTGAATTTAAAAATCTACCACGCAAAATTAAATTGCCCTTGGATTTGAGGTCACTTCTAACCGGGGTGGGGAAATCGGGAGAGGCAAAGATGTTTTGTGGGAGAAGCAGAGAGCATAGGTTGCATCTTGCACCATGAGCGTAGGTAGCATCTGCTCCATGCTTTGGGCACCAGGAACGACGTGTTGGAAACGCGTAAAATTCAGCCTCAAAGCTCAGCAGGAAAAGCTAGTGAGAGCGGAGCTCACACCCCAGACAGTCCGAAGTCGGGCAGGGGGCGTGTGACGGAAGGCGCCCCGGTACGTCACACGCTAAGTCAGCAGAATTTCTGCACAAGTCAGGGCAGAGCCTGACCTCACCTGCCACATGACCAGACACGCCAACAACCCATTCCAGCTGACCACCCCACTGACTCAGCTCTGCATTTCGCAAGAGGCATTAAAAAAAAAAAAGCGAATCAGCGGTTTCTGTTGAGCCGTTTGCCAAGGCAGGGACTCAGGAGATGGGGAGTCGCTTCCTGGGCCCCCTTGGGCAAGTTGCTTTAATTTCCCCGTGACTCAGTTTCCCCACCTGATATTTCATGAATTGCGGCAAAGCGCTCGGAGGCAACAAAGACGGGGCACCGACGAGGGGCTAGACCATGCTCAGAGCTAGCGCTCCGCCCCCCTGCTCGCAGGACGGCAAAAGAAGCCGGGAGATCAGAGCCGGCTTCCTATATCTCTCCCCACGCAGGCTTTGCAGGAAGGGAAGTGGTCGAATCCCCACTCTCAGCTCTGTCACTGGCTGCAGAGGGGAAGGAAGCCCCATTTCTAACCTACGGCACGTCCTTGGCTTTATAGCACCGCACCCTTTGCAAGGCCTAGAAACCAGAATCGACTTAACAGCGAGTTCACACACAGCCCCACGGTGGGAATGAGTCAAACCCCACAGCTGGGACCAGCCCCTGGACAGATGAGGCTCTTTCTGCGCAAGTCGTAACCGTGGAGCCGAACAGGTGCAGGTGTGCAGCCCGGGCTCGGAGATCTCAGCGCGTACGGGATTGGCAGAGGCCTGGCATTTTGGGGGCAGGCAGAGAACTGGCTAGAAGAAATCTCCCCTCCCCAAATGGTGCAACGCTGCCCAGCGAGGGGAATTACCGCTTCCCTTGCAGAACGGGGCATTAGCCACCCTCAGAGGAGGGACTGTTCTGTTTCCGGGCGCGATTCCTCACGTTGAGCCTTCTTATGCAAGGAGAACCCCAACTCAGTCAGGATTCGAACTCAGCAACCGGTTAACTCCCTTTGCTGTGCCTGGCAGGGGGCTGTTCTGGGCCGACCTTTGGAGCATTATCTCCGCATCAAAGGCGTGGCTACGGGCCCCTGCGGAGCAGGCACCTTTCTCCAAGGCCAGAACCGTGGCCCCCGAGAGCCGTCTGGCTGTGAGGCCGAACGCACTACACATGCCAGTGGGCTAAGCACCGGCCAGACACGACGCAGCAGGCGGAGAACTGAGGCACGGAACGGGCCGTGTCCACACGCACAGCAGCTGGGCTTTAACCACACCGGGGTAGTTACAGGGGCACAACCCCCCCTCAACATGGGGAAAAGGGCCCATCCCACCGCAGCTCTCCCCTACGGGAAGGGAGGGCCATTCCCCCAGCTCCCCCAACCCTGTTCCCAAGAGAAATAGGGGCCCTTCGACACCCAGCCTCCCCCCCACTTACTGAGGGCTGGAGGGGAGGCTCCCCCGGGGGAGCCCAGATCAGAGCCCATCTCCTAACCACAACCCCAGCCATCAGACAGATCGGGGGGGGGGGCAGCCCACAGGAAGCAC